CCTTTTATTTCTCTCCCTCAGAAGAACTGCTTTTCTGTTTTTTTCACCTTTGACATGTTTCACTGAGAGAGTGCCAAACAACCAATCACTGAGGTTCATCATCCAACCACAGAGGAAAAAACACAGAACAAGATCAAGGAAGGAAACATAGAACCCGACATGAAATGATCATTCTAACATCATTTTAACTTTTCATATCCAGATAAACAGAACAATCTAGAAGTGTTACTTAATCAAAGGAGGAGGAAGAGGAGGAGGATGAGGAGGAGGAGGAGGTGATTTGGTGCTTAGCATGGTGTTGCTTGTAAAGCCTGGAGAACCGGTCCAGACGACCCCGCTCTGCATCACTGCCAGATGTTCTGGAAATAGCTCTTTATGCCTTGGCATCCCATAAACAGACTTAGCAGCGTGGGTTTTAAGAGCCACCGATGCCCCGAAGAGCAGGCGGATTTACAGCTCTGCCCTCGGAGTGAAGGGGTTTATGGGAAACTGCAGCGTTTTCGAACTTGCGGTTGATTTGCAGTTTTTACGGTGTTGCTTTATTTCTGATGTTCAAACCTGCCAAGACCAACTTTTACTGCCGTCTGTGTTTGAGACGCTTCGTGGAAATGTTCGTGGAAATGTTCGCCAAATTTAGCCGTTGAGGACTTAACTGTACAAACACTGTACACACAAAATGATTTATAACTAATTCATTTAGTACTAGCTTCTAAGGCCTGTGGTAGCTAACATGTTTGTTTTATTTTGTCCGTTAGCATTAAGCTAAACATTGTATTTATCTCTGTTACTCTGTCACATAATGGAGAATAATCTACCGTTTTAAGCTTTAAATAAAAACCCGCGTCCTGTCATTTAATCACAGCTGCTGAAATATTCAAACATAAAAGAACTACAAATAACCGTGGGTTATTCCCGCTGATGGAGACTAGAAAATGTTTTAATTCCGTGAATACTTGCACTGTGGCTAAAGCTGGCAGTCTGATGACAGAGCAGCGCCCTCTGAGGGTCGCCACGAGTACTGCCGTTTCTAGGTTTAGCTCAGTGAAAACAGCACGGACGGACAGTCGGAGGTCGGACACGTTACACACACAGTGAATACAGAGCACAGCCCGACAGGACGAGCTCCGACCTGGACCCGACACCAACGGATACACGCTGACGTCATTAAAACAGCGCCTGAATGAATGTGCATCAAATGACGGGCAGCGACCCACTGGGTGACCACAAACCTGGCTAGCTGTGGTGAAATGTCGAGTCCAAATCAAAGTCAAATCATGCCGTGTTGTCAGGCTTTCAGTGAGGAACAAACGTTAGCCATATTTCACCACAAAATGTCTTAGTTACCACCGGCAGGAGGAGGTGGAGACCCCAGAAACCCCCCCCCCCCCCCGAAAAACCAACCCAGCACAGATTCACACAGTTCGACCGTCCATCGTCCGTGTGCACTTCACTGTCATCACGTCCACAAAACGGCGCCGAGCGCAGGCTGTGAACTTACCTCCAGGCTGCGACGGGGAGAAACGCTGAGCGTGGACTGACGGGTGACAATGACGACGGGGTGACGGTGCTAATATTAATCCCGTGTAGCTGTCAGCCGCAGGGGGGAGGCCGGTGGAAGGAGTGGGTGAGTCGTAGAGCCAACGGCCCGCGAGGCTGGAGTGAAGCTGGCTGTTCATTCAGCAGAATGATAGTGGAGAGCGGAGCAACTGACAAGTCGGTCACAAACAGCAGCAGCAGCACCACGCCCCCTGTCTTAAAGCTACCGCACTTCGTCACGACGGCCGTGTGAGAGAGAGAGAGAGAGAGAGAGAGCTGTTCTGTGTGTAGAGTGTCTTTGATTCCTTTGATTCCCTTTTTCAAAATACGACATCGATACTGTGAAGTTCTCCAGAATGTTCTGGTCTGTGGTGATTCAGTCTATACAACTGACAACTGACAAGTACAGTTGTAGTATAACTACTACTACTACTAGGATTTTACTGTGATGATTGTGATGATAATGACTGGGAATTGGTGATAAAAAATCAAGAACTGAGGAGTTGGAATATCGCGATATTTCAGGCCCAGCTGCAGTGAACAACCTGTCTGTGTCTGTCTGTGTCTGTCTGTGTCTGTCTGTGTCTGTCTGTGGCTGAGGTCAGACACTGACACTGTTGTTTCAAATGTCTGTTGAGGATAAACCTCTGGTTCCTCAGAGACACAAACGTTTCCTTGATGCTATCTGGACCCTGGACCCTGGACCCTGGACCCTGGGCCCTGGACCCTGGACCCTGGACCCTGGGCCCTGGACCCTGGACCCTGGACCCTGGACCCTGGGCCCTGGACCCTGGACCCTGGACCCCGGCCCAGTCTGCAGTACTGTAGAGTTTCTGGTGTCACAAACCCTCGCGACTCAAGTCAATAAACATTATTCGTAAACTCTTAGAAACACGACGGGAGACGACCCAAAAAAAACATTCTTGTGACCCACCTGAGGGTCGCGACCCAGTCTTTGGGAAACAGTGCTGCACGTGGTCATCCAGGAGTGCGTCAAAGGAAGGTGCCCTCAGCCACACTGCCACCTACAGGTGAATGAATTAAAAACATGAATGAAGAGCAGAGATGTCCTG